CATGGCCTCTTTATACCTCCTTCCTGGCCTCTTCTGGTCTCAGCCGGTCATCTGGTCCTCAGCCTCTCTCTGCTGGCAGCTCTTGGGTCTCCGCCCTCCTGCTTTAGGTGTGTCTTTGGGCCATCAAGGGCCATTGTTCCACAGGGCTCCACTACTCAGCCTGTCCATAGCAATGCTCAACCACATTCACAGAAATATTCAGCTTCCACACAGATTACAGATTCCTACCTACACACATAGACATTATACACTCACATAAATAGCGTACATAAGATCAACAAACAATAATCTCCCATTCAATACCCCACATGGCTCCCCCCATACCAATTTCTGGGGCCAACACCCCCACCTAGGGGTGCAGCAGCAATCTGGCTGCTTCCCTCCAATTCAGCAACGTGACAGAGGCCATGCCTTGCCAGGAGTGCACGGAGAAGGCAGGCTGGCAGAGCTGCAGCCTGCCAGCACCTGGATGATGGACTCCAGCAGCCCCACGGGACTCTCCAACAGGTGCGATTCCATAGCACATGTGGGCGACGGGAGGCAGGGGCAGAGCAGCAGGGGACACAGACATGGAAGCAGCAGGTCCTTAATGGGAAAGATGGTGTCTGGTCTGCTTTTGCCTCCCGCATTGCTCTCCGGATCCTTGTCCTAGGCATGGCTTCCTCCTGCTCCATTGGCCTGATTCTGTGCAGGCAGAGCACCAGTGTTCTGCTTTGTTCCTCCAGCTGGAGGGGGAGCGCATGCACATGAGTGGAGCCATTTGTGGCTCCAACTTTTTCACCAATCATACAATGAGGCTTGGGGCTTTCTTTACTCCCCTGCCCGCGCATGCCACTGAAAATCATCTTGCGTGTCACTTATGGCACACATGCCAGATGTTGCTGACCTTTGGCTTACATCAGCAGAACCTCACTGAACCCTGTAAATCAGGGCTACTCAACTTTGAAAGCCCCGGGGCCCACAATAATACTCACAGCACATGCCAAAGGCCGCAACTTAAGTGTGGTTGCATATACATGCAAATATATGGAAATAGCTTCTTTCACACTCATGGGCATGAATACAAAGATTAAGGCAAGACTACATAACATGCGGGCCCCATTTAAGTCAGTCCTGCTGATATTAATAAAATGCAATATTTACTCAATTTCCACCCATATGACATCACTTTTAATGAGCAATGTCCATCCAGAAATTTAACTACTAAAATGCGTATCAACAGAAGATCATTATATTGACTTGTCATTGTGGAACTTATTTCCAGTGGAGGCCATGTTCAAAGGATCCCACCTGTGGGCTGCATGTTGAGACCTGTGTAAACCCAAACTGCACTGTGGGTCACAAACAAATGGGCCGTAGGCCGCATGCAGCCTGCAGGCCACGTGCTGAGTAGCCCTGCCCTAAATATTCCTCAGTGTCCCCATAATGGGGAATGCCCCACAGTTCAGGGTAGATGCCACGTTCAGGAGGGCAGTAATATAATATCTGTTTGACTGATGCAGCTGTAACTCCTCACCATCCATCCAGAGGGGACCCTACTTGCCAATCTCCTATAGTAGTATACACACTGACATTATTTGAAGAAGAAGATGAAATATGACTTACCATACAGTAACAATGGTTATCCAAGATGTTGTCAGTGTGAATACCACAACCTCCCCCTCCATCCCACTTTCTGAATCCTAAGCTGTCATGGGAATTGTGAGGGACCCAAAGAAGGGTTGCACCACTCCACTCTTTGGGTATGTCTACACCGCAACATTATTTCAAAATAATGCTGAAATAGTCAGGCTAGAGGACTTCTTACTCCGACTCCTATAACCCTCATTGTACAAGGAGTAAGGGAAGTTGGAGGAAGAGTGCTCTGTTTCAAAATAAGTGCTATGTAGACACTTCCTATTTCAAAATAAGCTATTTTGAAATAAGCTATGCAATTGGTGTAGCTCAATTTGCATAGCTTATTTTGAGTTGCGAAGCACCCTTTATGTCCTCATGCATGAGCTTTAGGATCCATGCATTGCATGTATGGCCACAACATACCTTGCTAGTCAAAAGATTTTGATCTTGAGTGTTCAAGACACCTGCAGATATTTAAGTGGGATCCTCACAGACTGCAACATCTTAGAGAAACAGTTAATGTAGGATAAATAACCATTCTTATTCCAGAGTGACAATGTTGAGGTTTGTTGCCTTTTTAACTTGGTCGGGTCTAAAGTTTAAGTACAAAGTCTTTGATGAGCAGCACATCAGGAATTTATATTACAGATGAGATTAACTCATGCAATTAACTCAAAAAATAAATCACAATTAAAAATAATAATCATGATTAATCACAGTTTAATTCAGACTGTTGAACAATAGAATCCCCATTGAAATTTATGAAATATTTTTGGATATTTTTCTGTTTTCAAATACATTGACTTCCATTATAACACAGAATACAAAGTGTGTAGAGCTCACTTTATATTATTTTATTACAGATATTTACACTATAAAACATATCTCTTTGGTATACTGTTTTATGTTAATATTTTTAGGGATGAAGTTGGAATCGTGTCTTGTCACGACATCAGCAAATATGGAAAGTCTGGAATGAAAGGCTCTGAGTCACCCAGCTACTTTCTGGAGCATGAAAGTGGAAAGTATTATACATTAATCGAAGGTGAGGGCCATCCAATGGGCTCTGAGTTTGAGAGAGGCAGAACCACAGGAGTTCGGAGAAGGGAAAAGACACCCACTCATGGTATGCTTGATTGCTTTGGTCTTCAGAAATTGACCAGATTAACAAATTGTATCACTAACACTATATTATTTTCCAACTAGTAATTACTCTCTGCAAAAATATGAGCTATTAAATATCATGGAACTGCCTGAAAAGACATTGTTAGAAGATGAAACTAGCTGCAAAATTAAATGAAATCCCTAATTTAACATTATATAAAAGGGTACAGCTACTTAGTACCTTAACACGTATTGCGAGGATTAATTAGGTAATGTTTGCAATGCAATTTGAGATCCTAGGATGGTCAGTGCCAAATCTGATGGCAAGATATTGTAACAATAATAAACTCTTATTTTATGAAGATCTAAAGTATTGTATATAATACACTGAAAAAATGTTGCTGAGCTATAAATACATTTGTCCATATTAAAGATTAACACTGATGCTCAATGAACTTTAGAATACTATTATTGAAACATACTGGAAGCCATATAACTCTTGCATTTGTGGTATTTTTCTTTTCAGTGCTGTAGAGGTTATTTTCTTGTGAGGGTCACACAACTTTAACATGGTATGAGCTGAGCATATATATAAATATATATTTATATGTAACTTGCAATATGTTGATTTTTATTTTTGTTGGAGTGACATTTCTCAGTCATTGTCCCCAATGAAAAGATTTACCTTTTCTGTCAGACAAGGCACTCCCTCAGGGTATGTCTACACTAGCCCCCTAGTTCGAACTAGGGTGGCTAATGTAGGCATTCAAACTTGCAAATGAAGCCCAGGATTTAAATATCGCAGGCTTCATTTGCATGTTCCCGGGCGGGCGCCATTTTAAAATCCCCTTAGTTTGTACTGACTGCCCGCGGTTACACGTGACAGTCAGAAGTTAATCCGAACTAAATCCTTAGTTCGGATTAACTGTTACATCTCGTTGCAGGATGAGTAACAGTTAATCCGAACTAAGGATTTAGTTCGGATTAACTTCTGACTGCCACGTGTAGCCACGGGCAGTCAGTTCAAACTAAGGGCATTTAAAAATGGCTCCTGCCTGGGAACATGCAAATGAAGCCCAGGATATTTAAATCCCGGGCTTCATTTGCAAGTTTGAATGCCTACATTAGCCACCCTAGTTCGAACTAGGGGGCTAGTGCAGACATACCCTCAGGGAATGTCTACACTGGAAAATTATTTTGAAATAATAACACCTGAAATAGCATATCCACACTACAGAGAAGCCTCAAAATTAGTCTGAGACAGGCTCCCTTAATGTGGACTTGCTACTTTGACTTAGAGCCCCGGGAAGCACTGCGGTGTAATTCCTTTGAATGACTGTGGGGAGTAGTTATTTCAAAATAGCAGCAGTGAAGCGTCCACACTACCACTATTTCAAAATAAGCATTATTCCTCATGGAAAGCAAGAGTTATTATTTTGAAATAAGCTGCCTGTTATTTAGAAATAATGGGAGTAACTCTCTGGATTACTTGGGAGCAGGCCACACTCACCTGTATGCCTGGGGGCCTGATGTTTTTAACATTAAAGGAGATACTGAGTATCCCAGTGATGATGATGAATAGTTGGGGAACCCTTACTTCTAAAGGAATATACAAGGGCGGTGCCTCCACATGGCTTGCCCTGTACACACTTATTGGTGTGCCTTGGGAGCCTCCAGGAATAAACTTATTCCAGTAATATTCTGGATCTAACTCCAAACAACAATTATAAATAATATACATCTAATTGATTAAATTAGAATTAACACATCTTTACTTAACTATTTAAAGAAACAGAGTTTAACAGACTAAAAAATGAATAAAATCAATTAACAAAGTACACAGAAATAAAGGAAACTTCTCTATATGGCATTTGCATTGCCACCATTTCTCCCACCCCAGAGTGTGCACTCTTCTGGATCTCAGAGTCCCAGATACTTACTTGTGCTTGAAGATCTGCTGCTGGAGTGGAGACAGCACTGTACAAGTTCTCTGTGTGTCAGTCCAGGCAGCAACAACTGCAAAAGCCCCCTGACACTGGAGCAGGCCTCACCAAATGCCAGTATCTCTGGTTCACTGGGCAGATCACTTGCCTCTCTTTAGATCCAGAGTCAGTTTGTCCTCTGTGCAGGCAGCACTTTCCCAAACAGCCACAGTTACTCACAGTATCTTCTATCCAGGCGCTTATCAGTCACAAGCACAGCCAGGGTCTCTCCCCTTCAAGGACAATCATCAAAAGCCCCTGAAGCAGCCTATTAGATCAAAGCCTGAGTAGGCTCTCAGCAACAAGCTCTAGCTTCCAGCAGCAGCTCCTTGACTGGAAAAGGCTCTGCATTAGCAATCTGGCTCTTCTCTCCAAATTGGAGTCCCCCAACTCTCTCCCTACACTGCCTGGAAGAGAGCAAATTTCCATCCTTTTTCCCAAGGGCTCGTGGGAGTTGTAGTTTCCAGGGCTAGACTGCAGCACAAAGGATCCTCCCAGTAAAAGTCAGAGGCTCCTATAGTAAAGGGATCCTACACGTGTTTGGTAGTGTGGACGCTCCACTTGTTATTTCAAAATGTCAATAATAAAGCCCTAGTGTAGACCAGGACTCAGAGGCTGGTTCTGTCCTCTGATACATGTATACTTTTCTCACTGAAGTCAGTCACCAGACCATAGGAATGTTTGGGGCTCAATTTGATAGTCTTTTGTTTCACATGGAATAATTCTAAATAGTTGCAACTATTACTGTCAGGAATTAATCACGAGTAGAAGCATGTCCCTTCTGCTTACAGCTTTCTGACCACTATTTCCCAGCATAATTATTCTTTAAAGAAATTATGGTGAATACTGTAAGAAATAGTTTCTGGCAGACTATTAAAAGCAGAATTGGAATCTGTGCAATGTACTTTCATTTCTCTACAACACTGCAAAAACACTGGAACCTTCCGCTAATGATTTTTTAGGTGACATCTATCACCTTGTAAACATAAGCACGTGCTACTTTACCTGACAGTATTTTTGCTGCAGGAGAAATAACTTTAATGGTGCATAAGGTTTACTCTATGCATCTCGGAGATGTTCTTCTCTGTTTTGTTTCTTTCCTAATGTACTTGTTGTACGCTATGTTAGTGCAGCCTCCATGTAAAACACTAGCAGAAAATAACAGCAAAGTACTGGGATCCAGTGGATATAGTGTACTTAGATTTCCAGAAAGTCCTCCTCCAAAGGCTCTTTAGCAAAGTAAGCTGTCATGGGATAAGAGGGAAGATCCTCTCATGGACTGATAACTAGTTAAGAGATAGGAAACAAAGGGTAGGAATAAATGGTACATTTTCAGAATGGAGGGAGGTAATTAAAGGTGTCCCACAGGGCTCCATACTGGGACCAATCCTATTCAGCATATTCATAAATAATCTGAAGAATGAGTTAAACAGTGATGTGGCAAAATGTGCTGATGATAATAACCTTCACAAGATAGTTATGTCCAAAGCAGATTGTGAAGAGCTTCAAAAGGATCTCACAAAACCTGGGCAACAACATAGCAGATGAATTTTAATGTTGATAAATGCAACGTAATGCATAGTGGAAAACATAATCCCAACTATACATATAAAATGATGGGGACTAAATTAGCTATTTCCACTCAGGAGAGAGATCTTGGAGTCATTGTGGGTAGTTCTCTGAAAACATCCACTCGGGCTGCATCTACAGTACATGCTTCTTGCGCAAGAAGCCTTTTGTGCAAGAGTTTTTGCGCAAAAACTCCTTTTGCAAAAGCACGTCCACACCTCAAAGCACATTGCAAAAGCGATGTGCTTTTGTGCAAGAGAGTGTCCACACTGCATGGACACTCTTGCACAAGAAAGCTCTGATGGCCATTCACAGAATGGCTATCAGAGCACCTGTGCTTTTTCCCATAGGGGTTTCTTGCACAAAAAACCCTTCTGGAGCTCTTGCGCAAAAGGGAGTTATGCCTTGTAAAAGGAGGTTTACCTACGGTGGAAAAAGCCCTCTGTTCTGCTATTTTACTCTTGATTTCCTTGCGCAAAATGCATTTGAGTTGTGGACGCTCCACAGGTTTTTGCACAAAAACCGATAATTTTGCGCAAAAAACGTGCAGTGTAAATGTACCCTCAATGTGCAGCGGCAGTCAAAAAAGCAAACAAAATGTTAGGAATCGTTTGAAAAAGTATAGAAAATAGGACAGAGAATATCTTATTGCCTTTATATAAATCCATGGTACACCCATATCTTGAATACAGTGTACAGATGTGGTCTCCACATCTCAAAAAAGATATCTTGGCATTGGAAAAGGTTCAGAAAAGAGTAACAAAAATGATTAGGGGTTTGGAACAGGTGCCATATGAAGAGAGATTAAAAAGACTGGGACTTATCATCTTAGAAAAGAGGAGACTAAGGGGGGATATGATAGAGGGCTATAAAATCAGATTGGTATGGAGAAAGTAAATAAAAAAAAGTTATTTACTTGTTCCCATAACCTAAGATCCAGGGGTCACCAGATGAAATTAATAGGTAGCAGATTTAAAACAAACAAAAGGAAGTATTTCTTCATGCAGTGCACAACCTGTGTAACTCCTTACCAGAGGGTATTATGAAGACCAGGATTTTAACAGAGTATCAAAAAAGAATAAGATAAATTCATGGAGGTTAGGTCCATCAATGCTTATTAGCCAGGATGGGTAGGAATGGTGTCCCTAGCCTCTGTTTGTCAGAGGCTGGGAATGGGTGGCTGGAGAGGGATCACTTGATGATTACCTGTTCTGTTCATTCTCTTTGGGGCATCTGGCATTGGCTTTTGTAGGAAGACAGGATACTGAGCTAGATGGACTCAAAAGGTCTGAGCCAGTATAGCCATTCTTATGCTCTTATGTGATTATATTTTTTTAGTTTAATTGTGTGAGTTAACTGTGAATAATTGTCAGCCCTGAAATCATTATCACACAAGGTTGATGCTGCATTCATAATTATCATTAATCAGTTTCTAGTTCATTTTACTTTCAGTATCTTATGTACTTAGCATTGTGCTGCTTTGTTTAGGTTGCAAACCCTGGAAGAGAATGAATGTTTTTTTTAAATGTTTACACTTAGAATGAGTTTTCATCTTTGCAAAAGAATTTTTATTGATCTTGGGTTTTGTAGCAGATAATTGCTATAAAATCCAAAACTTGCAGTCAATCTCAACATACTTGGAGCCTTTTAGATAATTGTAATGGACAGCCTTCCTAATCTTCTTCAGTTCTTCTAAGATGCAGTACCTAATGCAGTTGAAAGGCAGGGGGGCCAGCAAACTCATCTGGCCCTTGGACAAGGTGTGTGGGGTGTGTGGCTTTGTGCCTCCAGAATGGGAGGGTCCTCAGACAGAAGGCTGAGGGCTTGGACTAGCCTCCCCCCCCGTCTGTGCCATATCTCTCCCATGCAGCCCTCAGTCTGCTTGGGGCTCTGGCGAAGATTCAAATGTCCCAAGGCAACTACTCCCTCGTTGGCAGGCCTGTTGAAAGGCATTATACATAAAACTGAAACCAAAGGTATTTAGAAAAAGCTAAGCTAAGCCAGGGAAATCCAAATAAGCAGTAGTAAAAATGTGTTTTATTATAATTATGCATATCATATCTATTTTAAAACAGATGGTTTAGGAATATTAGAGAAACGGAGCAAGCTATTAATATAGGACTGGATTATTCTGAAAGATCTTCCTATAAAAATAATTTTATGGTTGTAGTCATGTTATGAATTAGTACTAGCTTAGTTAAAATAGATCTCTCAGGGACAATATTTTACATATCAGTAAATAACAAACTCCATTCATCCATCTGTACTGTAGCTATATGCCAGAAGTACTTTTTTCAGTAATGAACTATAGAATTAAAGAAATGAGCAATTGGAAACAAGAAAAGATTTGGTGTACAGTGTTTTCAGATATGTGATTATTTTAGGAACAAGATATTTGGGTAATGTCTAATGTTTCAGAAAACAACTTGGTTTTGAAACAAGCAGACCATAAAACTAGACTATGATTGGATTTTGGAAATCTTTTTTGGACGACTATTTCAGACAGGGTTTAACTTGTAATTTAAAGGTGATTTTGTGTGTTCACTGATGACTATTTACACTGACAAGGTAAAAAAAGATCACCTCTCCCCACAGTCAGTATTCTTAGTTTAATGTCCTTACTATCATAGGGTATGTCTACACTACCCCGCTAGTTCGAACTAGCGGGGGAATGTAGGCATACCACACTTGCAAATGAAGCCCGGGATTTGAATTTCCCAGGCTTCATTGGCATAAGCGGGGAGCCGCCATTTTTAAAACCCCGCTGGTTCGAACCCCGTGCAGCGCAGCTACACGGGGCACGAACTAGGTAGTTCGAACTAGGCTTCCTAGTTTGAACTACCGTTACTCCTCATTTCACGAGGAGTAATGGTAGTTCGAACTAGGAAGCCTCGTTCGAACTACCTAGTTCGTGCCCCGTGTAGCTGCGCTGCACGGGGTTCGAACCAGCGGGGTTTTAAAAATGGCGGCTCCCCGCTTATGCAAATGAAGCCCGGGAAATTCAAATCCCCGGCTTCATTTGCAAGTGTGGTATGCCTACATTCCCCCGCTAGTTCGAACTAGCGGGGTAGTGTAGACATACCCATAACTACTACTGATTCCATAGTATAGACCTAGAACACTTACCTGGCATTTCCCAGGTTCTTCAGGGCAGAGGGCTGGGCAGTGTGGGGAGTGCAGGAATGAGGGCAGGACCTAGTGAATGTGGGGGAGGTAAGGCAGGAGGCTGGGGGCATGGGCGGGTGTGAGAGTGAGGGTTGGGGAAGTGAGATGGGGGTCCCATCCAGCAAGTCCTTCTCCCCAAGCCATAAGGGGCTTTCTGTCTCCTCCCGCAAACCCCCTGACCATCAGAGGCCTTATGTCTCCCCCTCCCCAGCCCTCCAGCCATCAAAGGCCTTTTGCCTCCACTTAGTCTTCCAGTCACTGAGGGTTTTCTGTCTCCCCCTAGCTCCTGTGACTGCCAGGGGCCTTCATCCTCTCCCTACCCCCCTGCACTTCAGCCAAGGACCAGGAGGGGAAAGGGTTTGAGGTATGAGAGCTACTTATTTGGTCTGGTGGTAGACGAGGTGGCAGAGCCCCAGCCCTGCTGGCCACTGTCTTGGTGGTATGGCAGCCCCTCAGTGACCACTCTGCAGGATAGCTCTCGTCTGTGGGCTCACTGCCCCCCAGTAGCCGTTCTCAGTATTGTGTCCCTCCCTTTCCATGTTATGCTTTAAGTTAGAATAAGAGGAAGCTGCATATCAAATTTAACGTTATTCCAAAGAAACAATCCACATCTACACTACAAGTAGATATTTCAACATAATGTCAAAATAATATCGAGCTGGAGGACTTCTTACTCTGGCTTCTGTAACCCTCATTTTATGAGGATTAAGGGAAGTCAGAGGAAGAGTGCTCTACCTCGGATTTCCTGCTGTGTATACAGCGCCAAAAGCCAAAATAAGCTATTTAACTTAAGCTATGTAATTATTTCGGCTTTAGCTCTGCTGTGTAGACGTGCCCTGAGAGTCCTGACTTAATTGTGGGTAAATCAGTAACCTTTCTAATTTTATAAAGCATGCTAGCTTCAGAAAGCTTTGGTTTTCCATCCAAAATCATCTATTTGCTGAGTTGTTGCTATTTGCTTCAGGAGACACTATGTATAAAAATTCTAATCTCACTTATAATAAGGAATAACTACACTGAAATCAGTGGAGTTTACATTTAAACCACTATAAAAAAGAACAGAATCTGACCCTATATATTTAAAAGCATCAGGGAGCTGCAAGCTTAATAATAAAAGGATGCTAATAAATGATTACACTAATGGGTATTTTTTCTAATCAGTTTACAGGCATTAATTATTTTATCACACAACCACCTTTTATTAATCAGTTGCAAAAATTAAATTGGTTCTTCTTTGATTGTTTCCAGGTGACTTGAGGCCTGTTTCTATGCCTACAGAGTTCAGCTGGATAGGGGAGTCAAAAGAACCAAACATGTACAAAAGAGGTAGTCGAGGTGAGTACCTTCTTCATTGCTGAGGTCCAAGATTTTTCTCTCTGTTCTTTAAGAACGATGAAAATGTGTACCCCAGACACCTGCTTTAGGTCTCACAAGTACCATGGAGAATGGAGAAGAGCCTGTCTACTAGCTCAAGGTATATCTACACTACTCATTAATTCGAGCTAGGTAGGCAAATGAGGGCAACCGGAGTTGCAAATGAAGCCCGGGATTTAAATATCCTGGGCTTCATTTGCATGTTCCCAGGCACTGCCATTTTTAAATCCCCCTTAGTCCTAACTAACTGCCCATGGCTAGATGCAGCAGTTAAACGTTAATTCGAACTAACTTCTTAGTTCGAATTAACTGTTACTCCTCGTAGAATGAGGAGTAACAGTTATTTCGAACTAAGAAGTTAGTTTGAATTAACGTTTAACTGCTGCATCTAGCCATGGGCAGTTAGTTAGGACTAAGGGGGATTTAAAAATGGCAGTGCCTGGGAACATGCAAATGAAGCCCAGGATATTTAAATCCCGGGCTTCATTTGCAACTTCGGTTGCCCTCATTTTCCTACCTATCTCGAACTAACGAGCTAGTGTAGACATACCCTCAATGTTTCTCAACCTTTTTTTAAAAGGTACCCCCTTTTTAAAAATATATATATAAGTACCCCGAGTACCTACATTTTTCAGACACACAAAAATTTCTTTATCATTGCAACACATTTGTTTAAACAACTTAATTGTAATCGGGCAGGCAATGAAATTTTGGGTGTAAAAAGTACAAAAATAATAAAGCGCTGTAAAACTTAAAACAAAAATTCAGATTTCTCCAAATTTCTGTTGCGTTGACGTACCCCCCAGACTTCTCTTGAGTAACCCTAAAGGTACTCGTACCATTGATTGAGAAACACTGTATTAGCTCTCCTGTTACTTCTGTGTTCCTAAAGTTTTATTTTCTCTAATTGTAACTAAGGGGCTGCACCCTGCTTGCTACACTTGCCTACTCCCCACTCTCTGGCTGCAAAATAGGCTGCCTCCAGCTCACTATGCTCACCAACAGAGAGCATGATGACGTCATTCTGTCATCTAGCAGGAAATACTTTTTTATATAGGGAGAGAGATAAAAATGAAATATGCTTCCAAATGCCAACGTGACTAAATATCTCAAATAATTGCTAATGGTATATAAAACTTTCAAATATGTTCATTCAGTATGATTCCATACTCACATTATACATTCAAACTGTTTCATTTAGGGCCCACTTTGATCTGTATTTTACACCTAGTTTTACTGCAACATCAAGGCTCAGACTGGTAGTCAAGCTTCCACTGATTTCAGTGAGTGTTTTGAATACAAAAGGATTTGAGCTTGGGCCTTGAAGAAGGCTAGTGGTAGAAATAGAACCCAAAGATAAAGGAAGTATGGCACACTTTAACTTTGATAGGTGGTGGATAAAACTCACCAACTGTTCCTCATCTCTCATAACTGTTAGTGGTATGGTGACTAGACAGCTCATTTTTAACAGGCCATTCCCTTTTTTAAGCTCTCCTGCAGGTATCCAAACTTTTTCCTAAAAGTGGACAAATTGTCCCATATTTTCCGCCTCCCTCCTCATCAATTGTGGTGGGTGACTAGTTGTGTAGTGGCCCTGAATGTTATTATAGCCCTAGTCCTGCAACTGCTACTCTGGAAGGCTGGGTATGACCTGTGCCAACTACTCCCCCATCCCTCTGCAACATGAGCATGGATAAGATCATACTCACCTGTGGAATCAGCATTACTCCCATCTTGTGTGTTCAGCAGAGAAGAATGTCCCAGTTCTATTTTGATCTTTTTATACTTTTAAAAATACAAGTATTTAATTTTGTTCCAAAAAGTCATATTTAAATAGGGTAATTTAACATGGTTGAAATGCTTTGTTTTTAAACAAAATTTTCTCAAAATCACCATATTTTCTAAATGCTTTCATGTTGAAAAAAAGATCATCTGTGTTGAAAAACAGTTTAGATGAAAATTTTCTACTTTGGACACTCATACTAGCAATATTCATTTCAAAATAATAATGAAATGTTGGTAAATCAGTACCCAATACTTATGTGAGAAGAGCTTTGACTTCAGTGGATCTATGTGCATGTATAAGGCTATATTTTAGCCTTGGGAATTTTTAGTAAAAGTCATCGACTGGTCATAACCAGTAAAAAATATCACAACCATGACCTGTCTATGACTTGTACTATGCTCCTAACTAAATCTTGGAGGTTAAGGGAGATGGCCTCAGAGGTGGAGTGGGTACACGGGGGGAAACCATGTCCAGTAGGAGCTGCAGGGGCAGTGCTTGCAGCAAGAGTTAGCACACGGACCCATCTGCCTGCACCTCCATATAGGAGCTGAGGGAGGGAAATGTTGCTACTTCCAGGAAGACATCAATGTAAGCACCACCTAGAGACCTCACCACCTCCTGTGCCCCTGTCCTGAACCCCAGCCCACACTCTAAATACTAACATTCACTTCATCCTACTTAAAGAAAAATTCCTAGATGTGTTATGTGTTAGTATTTATTTTATTTTATTTTAACTATCGTGAGACTGGAAATACATACTAAGTCCTGTTCTGGTTCAATTTTATCTGCTGTTTGTAAATTAATACCAAACTGAATTTTACATTGCCCATTGTAACATATTCTTTCTTTGCTAATCACTGCTAGTGTTAGCTTTTTCATCTACTTCGTTAGCAAACTAGTTGATAATTTTAAGAGTTGCTCTCTGAAATAAAATATTACCAGTAGTTTATAACCACGTGTCGTCATTATCGTGATCATCATCACCACTCCCATAACTACATTGGTCATTGGAGCACCATAATTTAGGAGCAATCAATCGTCCCACCCCAATGATTGTGTTCCAGCACTTGAGTCTCCACAAAGTCCATTCCTGTCAACTCTCTTACGTTGTTAATCCATCTCTTCTTCTGTCTACCTCTTTTTTCTCTTCCCTTGTACTCTGCTTTGGAGGATGATCTTGGATAGGCAAGGTGATCTTCTTACATGGCCATACCACTTCAACTTGTGCTTCTTCATGGTTGTCAGCAAGTCTTCATATGATCCAGTGAACTGGTGATGATGTTGTGGACTTTCATTAGTGATATTATCCAAGTAGGAGATGCCCAGGATTTTATGGAAGAATTTCATCTCTACTACCTGGATTTTCTGTCCAAGTTCGTCTGTAAGGGTCTATGTCTAACATGCATACTGAAAAATGGACATGACAACACGTGCAGTAATTTCAGTCTGGATTCCAAGGAGATGTTCTTTTTCCTCCAAATTGGCTTTAACTTTGCCATTGTTGGTGCTGTTTGCCCAGTTTTCTGCCTTTGATCCTTCGTAAGTGATGATTGCACCCAAAGACGTAAACTGTTTCACTGTCTCTAGCTCTTTTCCCCTGACAGTGATGAGTGAACTAATTCCATCACATTTGTTTGTCATCAGCTTGGTATTCTCTGAACTGATTTCCATGCCGTATTTTTCTAAGGTTTCAGCCAATCGTTTCATAACATTGGCAAGTTCATCTTCGTAACCTGCCAGGCCGCTAGTGTGATCAGTGAACCAATTTGAGATTGTTCGTGCCCCACCTCATGCTGACTGTGCATATGTGATCTTCTAGGGCATCAGTCATTATGTGCTCCAACTAGATGTTGAACAGTGTGGGCAAAAGAAAGCAGCCTTCTCGGACTCCACCAGTGGTGCAAAACCACTCTCCTGTTGTGCCATTGAGAAGAACTGCTCTGTCGGCCTTGGCATACAGTTGTTTGATGGTAAGAATAAGCTTATGACAAACATTGTACTTCTTCATGGTTAGCCAGATAGATTTGTGCCATACTCTATCAAACACCTTCTTAAAGTCAACAAATATGTGGTAGATGTCCTGCTAGTATTGTAAGTACTTCTCACATAAAATACAAAGGTTGAAAGTCTATTTTGTGGCACTTCTTCCAGTATGAAAGCCAGCCTGTTCTTCAGCAATGATATTCTCTGCTTGTGGCTTCAGTTTTTTCAATATGACTTTCAACATCACTTTGCTGAAATGGTTAATTAGGCTTACGGTCCAGTAATTTTGACATAAATGCAGAGTGATGATTAATGAATGTGTCCGCATGGAGAGCCATTCACAGGTCTGCTAGATCTTTCTGCAGATCTTGGTGAGTACATCTATTACTATTTCCTCTTGGCATTTCATCAGTTTGGCTGGGATGTTGTCAATACTTGTAGCCTTTTTATTCATGATTTCACAGCTGTCTCCAGTTTTTCACACAGCATTGGAAAGCCATCCTCCTCTGTTGAATCTGAGCTCTCCAGGATACTAGGATCTCCCTTTGTCTGGTGATTATAAAGATCACTTTGTCCACCTATTGATTATGTCCCTTTCTTTTGTAAGGCTGTTCCCTTTGTCTTGAATTGTGTTGGCTTTGGTCCATCTTTCCTTTATGAGATCTTTTATAACATGGAAGGCTTGTTTGCTATTTTTATTACTGATACACTTCAATTTTACAGCATTATTTTTGATCCATATCTTCTTGGCCACCTTCATTTCTTTGTTCATCTTTCTGCCAACCACTCTGTATTTATCAGCTCCCTCAGAGCTATTCTTGTCTCCCTTGATCTCTCTACTAATGACATACATTTGCAGCATTTCATTTGTGACCCAAGGTTTTACCTTCTTACGGAATTTCCCAAGGATGGCCATTGCTGTCTCATTCATTAAATTATTAAAATTGTTGGTCATTGTTTCTATGTCTTCTTCTAGAGCAAGCACCAGGGCAAGTTTTCCACTTGTAGCTAGCATATAAAGTGCATTTTCCAGACAGAATGATATATACATAAAATATTACAGTTGCAGTGAATCAAAGATAGTGATTAGGATAGATAGGCATTGTGGAATTAATGGTTTCATGAATTATTTTTGTGTTAGAAAGTAGTCTATGTTTCCAAGACTTTTTACTCCTTATAATTTCATAATTTAAAATTGTGGGTTTTCTTACAAGGACATAAAATTATTTTCTTAATTAAAAAGAAACCTAAGGTATGTTTTATGGATAGATATTGCACCATTCAGCAGCCCATAAAAAAGCTACAGAGGCATGAGTGGGGTGGCTAGATAAACAGATAAATATTAATTTCCGACTTTCCTAGTTTCATGTGCTTTTGCATGTTTGGTGTTGTCATTTTGTCTTGGTTTGGTTTGGTGGTGTTTTAGTGTAGGTTTTCCCCTTGCCACAGCTTACAAAGCCTCCCAATTTAGTATAATTCATGAACAGTTATTGTTTATGTTTGCTATTACCCCTAAATCACACTGAACAGAAAACAAAAAACAGGTTCCTGGCCTGAAAAATTTACAATAAATGGAACTGCAGTTGCTCCACACCATGTGAAAACCAGATTCGTATTTAGCAATCTTAACTATAAATTCAGGGCTTGTCTACAGGGTGACATCTAGGAAAGATAATCTGAATTGACTAGGGGCTTGTCTATGCAAACAATTCACAGCAAATTGGAATGTGAATCTATGCTGCACTAACCTGACACAGATAAACCATCCATGTGGATCCTACTGGACTCTTAATGCACTTTGATCTAGTCCCTTTCAAAGATCACTAGATAAAAAAGTGTATTAGCCAACCATTAGTCATGTCAGCATGCTCCACGTTTAACCAGTTAAATGATTCAATGGGATTTTACATCCTTAGTTCACATGGGGTTTAATAAGATTAACCAATCCCTTCAAATTCATACCTTTAGTTAAATGAGATTAATTTTCTTGGGTACTCCTATATATCAAGCCCTTAGTTATTTCTATTTAGGCAACCACATTTTGAAAATCTTTCCCTGAATTCACAATGCTTGTTACCTGGACAGTATCTTTTCATTCTGATTCCCTGAAGCAATTCCTTTTTAATGTAATAAGTAATAAACATGCAGTGTTGGTGCAGACCCAAAGACTATGGCTGGCTGAAAGTCATTATTAATCAGTCCAAATACAGATAAGGATGGTGTTATAACTAACAAACAGAACTGGAAGTCATATGATCTGGGTTTTATTCCTAGTTCCTCTACTGATTTTTATGAGTTATTCTCAACAGTTTAAGCATATTTGAAATTATGCCTTGCATTTGAAACCCATGATAAAGTTAATTTGAAAGAGGTAGCTTTAAAAAACTTCTAGAAAACAATAATTGACCAAGAAGCATTTTTCCTGATTATGATTTTTTTCTAACTGGGAGGGTCTTTGTTTCAAACACTTACTAAGGAAAGAACTAGGATGGAAACATTTTGCTTTCATAAAATTGAAATATCTTGATCTTATCAAAATCCTTTTTGTCTAGTGTTCTTTTGAAACAATTTTTTTTCATCAAAATTTACAAGTTTTTTTGCAAAACGTGTCTTTTTTTAACCTATCTGCATTTTCTAACCAAAAAACTTCCCATCAGAAAACCTCTGACCAGCTCTACCAAACACCTGTCTCGAAATTTTATAGTCAAATGTCTTCGTGACAAATATTCTGAAATCCAGTAAGCAGGATTTTGGATTTCTCTCCTATTCAAACCTGCAAAAGAGTCATCAGAGAACCTGATTGCTAAGTGATGGCACATTTGCTTTCATTAGAGTACCTGCTCTCTTTGCTGGGTGTATATTATGCTGTACACTAAAATGTACTGAATGAGTTAACTTGAATTGCATAACCAAAAAATAAGAAAAGGCCAGGGCTACAGAATTGTGGAGCCATGAGCTAAGGCTTTACAGCAGTGGTTCTCAAAGTGTGGTCCCCATGTTGCAGGTGGGCCATGTACTCAAGACTTTCCCTTCTTCTGCAGCAGACAGCTTGCGCTGGCACTCCCGCCCTGATGCCCCTCTCGCACCATGAGGAGAGGGGGAGTGGGGAAGAGAGCTTTGTGGACCCAGTCTAGATTGCGGGTGAAGGAAATGGCTCCATGTGCTGCTGCTTCCCCTCCCCCTGGCTGGGGAATGGAAGTGCAATAAACTGCTCACCTGAAGGCTTTCCCTGCTGCTCCCATTGGCCAGAATCATGACCAATGGGAGCAGCAGGGGGTAGTGCCTGGGAACAGTAAGAGGCCTGGAGCCAGGTAAGTACCCTCCACTCACTCCCTCCTCTTGCACCCCCTTCTCACCAAGACCCCCACCTACATCCCACTCCTGCACACAACCTTTCAGCCAGGAGGTGTCATCATCGGTGGCTGGCTGGTGGTCTGCAGAAAGGACTGCATTGAGCAGGGTGAGCTACAGGCCAAAATGTTTGAGAACCTCTGGTTTATATTTTGAGAAAAATCATCAGAGTAGGAATCTCAGTGCTCCACAGTTTTAATGCACAAAGCCCATTAATGGCAGAATCAATTACTATTGACTCCATCTGTTTCCAGGGGAAAAGAAACAAGTCATGTGCACTTGTAGTTACTATGCCATAAAGAACCATAGCTTCATGTGACCCCCTGTATGCCAGTGAACGCTGACTTAATAAGGACGGCTCTTCTCAAGAGCTGCAAATACTATAGATTAAAGGGCTGTGAAATACTGTGGTAATAGCCATGTTCCATTTCCCATGTCTTAGTAAAACACTCTCTAGACACTACCATGAATAGAAAACTGTACGTTGTGTTCTCCATTTTAAATGTCATATTGAAACACCCACTGTAACCCTTTATAAGGTGCAGCTTTATTTTCACACAGATGTGTGCTCGAGTGCTTAAGTATAAAAGTGCAGCCTGATTACATTTGATATCTTTTTGTTTTGTATTATTCATATTTCTTTTCTTCTTCCTCCAACAACTGACTCGGAGAATTCACTCCTTCGATACTTGAGTGATGACAAGATCTTGGTGATCCAAGAAGAGCCTTTGACACAGAAAGACAACAAAAGAGACACAGGCCGCAGGTCAAGGAAAAAGGGCAAAAACACAAGTAACTTGAACTATCCAATTACCCCATCAATGTTGACATCTGCTGTTAGTGTCAGGCTTGAACCTGGGCAGCAAGATGTCCTGAATTTCTCACTAGCTGAAAGCAACACCGTTCCACTTTATCACGTAAGTTCATCAAATTTTTAAGTTTTAGTTCTTTTTTCTTAAGAGCCACTGGAATTAATATTGACATAGCAGAAATATGATCTTATATCTTACAGTATCATGTTGCATGGCAAGATTTCACAGTTCATTTTTTCACATCCATATCATAAGGTACAAAGCTCATCTGAAAATCATCTAGATCAGTATACTACATATACTACCTATACTGAACAACTGTTCTCTGTATTTTGGGCTGACATTTTTCATACAATCTAGATCAGTGTTTCTGAAAGTGTTCCATGGAATCACTCTCAGAAACACATTAACTGACCGCCCTGGTTTATTTACTGGCACTATGGCCACGGAGCCTTGCAGCTCCCATTGGCTCCATTTTGTCCTTTGCAGCCAAGGGGAGCCGCGGGAAGTGGCATGGGCCGGGCCACTTCCCGCTACAAAGGATGGCCACAAAGGATGAAACAGAGCCAATGGGAGCTGTGAGGCTCCATGGCCGTGGCGCCACCCAGTTAATGTGTTTCTAAAAGTGATTTTGTGGAACACTTTCAGAAACACTGATCTAGATTGTATGAAAAATGTCAGTCCAAAATACAGAGAACAGTTGTTCAGTATAGGTAGTATTTGCAGCAGCATAAAATCTGCAGACACTGCTTGCCTAGCTAAGATGGGTATTAATGGCAGTGCAGATAGTGAGGCACATCTTAAGTGAATATGGTAGAGATAGGTGAGTACCCTGCACAGATCTCTACAGGCTCAGTAGTACCTCCCATACCTACATTGCTAAAAAGCTTGCTGCCACAATGAAAGATTCTGACAAAGGGGAGCCAGGGGAGGAAGATTCTGACAATAGCTACCTCGATCGAAGGTCACATTCTCCTGTATCTTGATTACAGTTAGTGAATTGTAGTTTTGACAGGTTAGATGGTAAAGGTAAAACCTAGAAGGGGACATAGGGTTTCCTTTAACCATCAACATATGAAAAAAATTGCTTTGTCTTCACTAACATTTTAGCACATTTAGTTGATTTCTGTCAGTTAACACATGTTTAAAACACATCTTTAATCCTAGTGAAGACAAGGACCACGTGACTTACTTAGTGGGATCTCTTCATTTCCAAGAGGATTGACTAAATCCCAAACTCTGCTCCCAGAACAATTGATGCCAAAAGAGATCTTCAGTTTCACCTGTAGTCATTGGGGCTATGTCTATACTACAGGGTTGTGTCTACATTGGCACGATCTTGCGCAAAAGCACCTGCTTTTGTGCCAAAACTTGCTGCCTGTCTACACTGGCCACGAGTTCTTGCACAAGAACACTGACGTTCTAATGTATGAAATCAGTGCTTCTTGCACAAGAACTATGATGCTCCCGCTCAGGAATAAGCCCTCTTGTGCAACTGTTCTTGCGCAAGAGACCAGTGTAGACAGGCAACATGAATTTCTTGCTCAAGAAAGCCCTCTGGTTAAAATGGCCATCAGAGCTTTCTTGCGCAAGAGAGCATTTACACTGACATGGATGCTCTTGCACAAAAGCACATCTCTTGCGCAAAGGCACATGCCAGTGTAGATGCTCTCTCCTGGAAGAGTTTTTGCACAATAACTCTTCTGCAAAAGAGTTCTTGCGCAAAATCATGCCAGTGTAAATGTAGCTCAGGAGTTTTGTGTAAGAAAATTTACAGTAAAACAGAAGAACAGAGGGCTTTTTGTGGTGTAGGTATACCTCTTTCTATGAGGAATAACTCCTTTTTGCATAAGATTTTTTGCGCAAAAAGGTGTATGTGGACGTTCTACAGGGGTTTCTTGTGCAAAAAGAGCCTATCAGGAAAAGCACACGTGCTCTTTTGGCAATCAGAACTTTCTTGCACAAGAGTGTCCATGCAGTGTGAATGCTCTCTTGTGCAAAAGCACATCGCTTTTGCGTTGTGCTTTTGAGGTGTGGACGTGCTTTTGCGCAAGAAGTTTTTGCAGAAGATCTCTTCTGCAAAAAGCTTCTTGCACGAAAACCCTGCAGTGTAGACAAAGCCTAGGTCAGCGTTTCATAAATTGTGTTCTGCGGCACACTGGTGTGCTGCGAGGCAGTCAGAGGTGTGCTGCGGAGAACAACAGAATTCAAAATGGCCACCCTTAAAGGGGCAGGTGACCTTTTTTTTTTATTTTTGCTCAATGACTTTCCCCTAAACTTTTTTTTTCTTTTCTTCTCAACAATATCCTTGATGTTCCTCATTAAAAAAAAATATTGTTTGGTGCTCCTCGGTCTTAAAAGGTTAAGGAACACTGGCCTAGATGAATCCAATAATGTACTTTGCAATATCTGAAAAGGTGGGCCTCCCCATGTTCTGAGTTTCTGAAGCATTCTCAATCATGGTGGATTGAGAGGTGTGTCCCCTGAAGTATGTGTTTTCTATCTTTTGATGAAGGAAAAACTGGTGAGAGGATCTGTGACAACCATTGCCTACTCCAGTTGTGAGATTCAGAACTGTTAAGCTTGTTGGATGGATGCCTCTGGAACTTCTCCAAATTTCAGACATGCTATCCAGAGATCCAGTGGTTCAGTCATTTAAACAAGCTCTCTCTCAAATCTTGGGCTGTAATCCTGGTCCTAATACATTTAATAGAGAAATTCGCATTAATTTAAATGGAGTCTTGATTTCACCCTGGAGTTTAAGCACAAGGAACATGTGAATTGTCATCGTGGATCAGACTTGAAATCTATACAGACTTCAGAGTAGGCAGAAAAAGGATAAACTGCCACCCATAATAGGTCTCTTGCTTATCTCTTATGGTCACCCCTTTTAACATGGAGTTTAATATGCCTTCCACAACACTGTTGTTTCTGTTAATTATGAATATCCTTGATATTTATATGAATGCTCAGTCTGTTTTTGAATTGTATTAAGTTCCTGTATTTAATGACTTCATATGACAATGAGTTATATAGTCCAATTACACATTGTGAAAAAGTGTTTCCCTTTACCTGTTTTGAATTTCTCACCCTTTTAAATAACAAATAGTCTTGTAGAACCTTAAAGACTAACAAAACATTTAGATAGTATCACGAGTTTTTGTAGGCACAACCCACTTCTTCAGATGAATTGAATATCTCCATGTTCTTATATTATGGTGCTGAAAGAACAGGATACTGCTAATTTATAGCCCAGTCTAGCTTAGCAAACAATGTAGAAGCCCAGCCATATAGATATTGCTCAAATTGTGGCTATTTTTTTCAGAGTGATTTGCTTACTTAATATAGATGTAAAGAAAGTTACCTATTGGCAAGCTGTTCTATATGGGAGGAGGCTAGAACCTAAAAAGCGTAACAGACAAATGGGTGGGTCTTTCTGTTACGATATAAGGAAAGAGAAGCCCATTCTAGATGGCTGGCCCACTATGCAAAACCTAAGTATTTAAGGCAAAAACAAAATCTCCTTTGTTCTAAATTTGTCTGAGAGAGACTAATACATACCCAGAATGAATCACACTCATCCCTGATTGAACCTCACTGATATCATCGAAAATAAACCGGAGACAAATCTAGCCCTATGTTAAGCAGCATTGAAAATGAAGTTATTATGTACTTAGCACTTGTTTTGTAAAATTATTTTCCCAAACACTATTTCCATTAATATGTCTTATTTTAATTTAATCTTAACTCCATTGCTTCTACCTCCTTTATCAAATTCCCAGTATAGTACTCTGGCATGCACCAGCAGAATCAGTATTAGTAGACTGATTTTGTCATCACAAAGAAATTATCTTGCTTACTGAAACTGGGCAAAATGGTTGCCTCTGAAACGTAATTAAGTTATTTTGCATTGGATTTAGCTTTTTCTACTTCATTAGTCTTGGTAAACAAAGGACATTTAATTTAGACAATAGTGTCTATATGCATGAATATGCAATTCAAAGCGATGTTTTTGTTTTCCACTGGAACATGTATTGTAATCTTAAAATATATTCTAACAGGTTAAAAATTGACCACCATATGTTTAAGTAATATGACAGGGTTAGAACAGAAGGCTATAAAAAAATAGTCCTGTTGGATTCCAGGAGGTGGGTGGACATTAGCATCTAAAGGACCACCCACCAGCCTATGGGGAGGGTCCACAGAGCCAAGAATGCCAAATGATTACTGGGGACAAATAAAGAGAAAACAGGGATGGGTATAGAGGTCATAGGATCAAAATGAGGGAACCAAAGAAGGACACCGAGCAAAGAACCCCGAACAGTGTCCACTGCCCCCCGAAGATCTCGAGAGAGACAGTGGATGCTGCCCAGTGGAACTCTGCCTGGATGAATGAACGGATACCAGAGCGGAGATAGGCCCCACAGTTGCAGGCCCCTCCTTTCTTAGGCTCTCCTGCATGATAAAGGGAGGACCCCACTCTCCAAGGACTCGGCCCAAATGCTGGCAAGGTCTGGACTGAGGATGCCCCAGAACACATGGTAGAACTCGGGGACTTATTGGTGAGCATGAGATAGAGGGCTTTCAAGAATTCGGCCAGAGAGAGAGGCAGGTCTAGCCGGTCCCTGTCGCTCGCACTAACTGTTGGGAGTTCATTCCAGAGGATTTTGCAGACATCTGGTTGGATCTGGGGAGAAAAGGGAGGTGTAGAAGACTCGAGTCCTCTCACACATCTCCACTAGATCTGTGAGGGGGGTGCCATCCTCTGCCAGAAGGCATATGATGCATTTTTAGCCCCCCTGTTTTTCTCCAGGGTGTAAAAGAAGTGGGAGCCATGATCCTGCTCCTGGAGTAGATGGATGCAAAAATGAACAAAGGCATCCCGGGCCCGAAGGTCATCTAGGGCTCGGAGTTCCTCTCACTTCTCCCAGTATGTTCCACAGAGGGATGGATCTCTGGGGCTGGTGGCCAGATACCTCTCTAGCTCTAAAACTTCCTGTTCCAACTGCTCTATCACCACATCCCTTCACGAGCTGGCCCCCCAGGAGTCGTTGCAGCAGAAGAGCTGCATGTACACCTTCCTCACATCCAAACACCACTGTGCC